TACGAATATCTTATCTAGACTAATAAATTGATATTCATGGGTTGATACAGACACTAAGACACTTAGACCATCGAATTGCTGTAAACATGATTAATATTTGGGGTTTCTTAGCTGGGTCTTGAAAATAATTAGTTTTTAATCGCAGAAATGTTGCAACCTTCTTCGTAAAATTAATAATATGTTTGATATTCTACAAATTTTGTGCTGCAAGTTTGTTGTGACAAACATAAATCAGGAATTTGGTTCACACAAATCGTGTATAAAAGGTGATTGATATATCACCAATAATTGGTTACCACTTGTATTCTGGGGAGATATGTATGGTAGAAACCGACCACCATATCACAAAAGAGGATCCTTATCTCAAAGTTAATGGCTTCTTGAGTTGGCTGTCATGAACTGGCTATGAAAAAGGGGATTCGTATTTATTGGGTATCCGAGTATAATTTGCCATTCCAATTACTAACGTTTAACCAATGATGTGCAACCTATCATCGATATTATGTGTGGACATTTGAGTTAAACATTTTGTTGGCCTAAATTTTCACAAAAGAGAACCATCTGGATAAAGAACTTTGGTCAATTGTTTGAGCATACATTATTCACAGTTGCAATGGTCAATATCATTGTCTTATAGACTCCAAACCGCTGTACTAGACCACTTCTACTTGACACTGTTCGTGATTAAATACTGATAAACGCAACACGATGTAGCAATAACAACATCAGTACTGTACTCATCCTCTCATTTGTGTTTCAATAACGGTTGTGTATTTGATCCGGGCTTGTCGACTAACCGGGCCTACCGGTCCCCCTCCCTTGAGCTCATGTTTTTATCTTAATCTCATCAGCCCCGATCTCCATAATTTACTTATCGAACCATTGGTCGAATACTGTGGCCGGGGTAGGTACAGCAACTGGTTATAATCAGTTTCAGAGGTGGCATATATAAACTAATTAATCATTCATCCTTATCTGAGTCTCTCATTAATCCACTCTACCCTTAATTCCGAGAAAACCGTCTTAACATCACCCAGTTTCCGTGGATTTCAGTGCTTCTTTAACCCCACTTGTAATTGCAGAGGAATACCGAATCTATCATATTCGTCTAATTTAATTTGGCATGGACTTAGACCCTTGACTTTCGAGAAGTGGTGTAAACTAGATCTGTGAACAGTGCAGACGGAACATTTGATTTAATTATTTTTAATACACTTATTAAAGTTGTCCGTTTCTTTTCAAAGTGATAAACAGTTTAATAGGGGATCTTAATGTTGATATGAGATATTACAATGCTATTATATATTAAAGTTATGTAACAATTCCATGAGCACTTTATCACATTATGATCAAATGTGTTTATTGTTATTTGGTACGTGCTTTGTTCTGCGTACGTGTACGAGGTCTGAACTCTGAATTCCGTTATATTTGATTCACCTGACCTCATCTCAGGGCAAGTTTAAGATTTCAGTTTCTTGGCGACGCATGTTCAGATTCCATGAACTGATTAAGTTCAAAATTAAAATTAAGTGACTTACAACTTGATAGCGTGATCTCATTTTGTACAGCTTTGTGTGGCGAAGATATTAATTCACCTCGTTTAGTGCTAAACGTGTTTATTCACTTCTAATCGCCTGTCCAACGGATGATCTGAGAGCTGAAACTCTACACGATAAATCTCCATCCTCATTCAGATAAAGAGAATAATCAATAACCCAGCTACTCAGCTGAGGAGCGTACCACTCGTTTCCTCAGATCCCTAACATGTGTTCCAACCTCTGTTCAGCAATTAGTTGGTGTATTCTGGTTCCGCCAGGCCAGGGCCGGCCGTACTACTCGTGCTCCAGTTTGGTGGTGCCGATCAGCTTCTGTTGTATAGCCTTACTGCATCTCTTCTGGTTCCGACTCGCACCAGGTGTAGTGAGCTGTACACTATTTTTCCCATTATTTTCCAGTTAAGTTTTGTTTCTTGTGAGCGATCTGGGGTTATACTCGGAAAGAATAATCTGATATTTGAATTTCTAAGATAAAGCCGTTCGTTATTTTCCGTTCGTGATATATTTATCAATTCAATTATGAATTATGATTAGGTTTCGGTGTTTTTTCTGTGCAAAGATTCCAGGAGCTGCATCAATTGAAGTCTGGATTTAGAAACACAATTTCTATCCGATACAAGCTTTTATACAAGCTTGATCAATAATATAAAGGCAGGCCCCACAGTTCAATGGCCAATATCTCTCACGTCTTTTTAACCTATACTGCACAATTACATTTCTTAAACTCTACTGGATAAAAAGTAGACAACCAAGCTTTCACTAAATTACTATTAGGGCCTTTAAAGTTTAAGTGACAAAAGGCAATATTACAGTCGAGAATATTTTGTAAATTGTAATAATATTCTGTTGTAGGGTTGTACTATTCGTAGTCGGTTCCGTGCATATGCAGTATGCACCTATATTTATGGGCTGTAGTCACACTCATTAGTCAGACAGCTGTATACTTTGCGGCCACATGTATTGAGTCCATTCAAATTTTAAATAATCTGTATCATTATTTTCGATTTGACACTCTAGGTATGACAAGTTTTGACACTTCATGTTTCAGTAGACAAAAATATAGACAGAATAAGGATTAGTTGATAACAGATGTAGTTGATAAAGTCGTCGTAATTTTCAATTCGCACATTGTGGGAGTATTAGATGTCATCGCTATTCTCCATTAATTCGAAAAATTTCGGATTTTTCTTGAAATTTTCACTTTTTAAAATCCACATTTAGGTAATTTTCGAAAAAAACTTTTCGCTATTATCGCTACGGTGGTGAAGGTGGGGGATAACTTTTAAAAGAAATTAGCAAAACTCAATGGCAAAAATGGCGATGAAACCCCTCTCACAGTTTGTTCCGATAGAGAGAGAGTTTGTTTCGGTAGCGACTTAAAAGGTTGCTACCTTTCAAAGGCCAAGGTTTGTTAATATAAAACTGCTCTGACCTGCAGTCGTCTGATTGAATCTGCCGTTCTTTTAAGCACATTTTAACAAGTTATATTTACTTTTAGTCGACTTTTATTAACAGTAACTCATTTACTCTACTTTACCTAAGGTTGTACCAACCTGTTCAATGATATCGACTATCGTATTGAAAAATCATGAATATTGTTTCATTCAACATTCATCTTTTTACGTTCATAATCACATCTTTAAATTACGTAACGGGGAAAAATTGTTAAGAAAAATTGATCGGTACATTATATATGAGCATTTAGCGAGTATGTGGCATGTGCGCACATAAAATCATAAGAAAAACATATTAATGCGGTAAATAAAAGACCGAATGGTCGATACTTTCTAACGGAATAGTTTGTTTATTTATTTCTTGCCTGCTTAGGACGGAAGTAGAGGAGTTTGTTTGTTTGAGATGTAGAGAGGTAGGCAGTAGGCACCATTTCGGCACCGTGTAGGCACCGTGTAGGCACCGTGTTTGGAGCATCTGTGATCTGGCCGTCTCATTGCTCGGACTGTTGAGTATCAGTTGTGTTCGATAAAATTTGGATGAAGACGGGTCGTGACCAGCCTGCCACTAGTTTTGTTTGCTCCTTTTTGTTAGCTTTTGCTATGTAGGGGAGTCAGGAGGTGGCCCGGAAGAGGAGGGATATTAGTGAACATTGGTGGTTTCCTAGTTTCTGCTCTGTTGGTTTTAAAACATTTTAGTTTTAAAAGATTAAGATCCGTAAATTTGATCGTTTCGACAAGGTTCCGAGTCCGACTATGACTTGCTACCGTTATGATTGTTCTAACCATACTATTATGGAATCCAATTTATTTTAAAGATGAATTGTGGGTTATGACATTGATAAAAAAAGAATATTCCCTGGTAAGTATGAATTTAAACAAGCAACGTGATTCGTGGATCATATCAATTCTCCGATTCTAAGTTTTATCTCATATACTTTTGAAACACATTATTTGTACTTTTCAACGCTGCATAGATGTTTTTCCAACCTTCTTTGTGACACTGCAAAGGTCTTAAAGCTCAACCTAGAGATTTTTCATCTCAAAAGGGGGCCAACTCCGTCATGATTCAAGCTCAAAATCTAGTCGCCGTGAGAATTTCCATAGAATTTAAAAAAACTTTCTGTAGAATTCCATAGACTTTTACTTTCACTCCTCGAAAATATATCTGGATTCGGAGTTTGCATACCTCAACTATATAATATTTAAGGGGATAGTACTCTCCCGACTTGGTATTTTTAATCACTTCTTACGTGGCTCTGCAGAATGCAGATCAAGCCACTTTTTCGTGGCTCCCGACCTTACAATATCATCTAGCCCCTGTTTTTATGAGTGGCCTCACGTGGCCATCTATCCTTCATCTGATTGGCCACGTTTCGTTCAATCTTGAGCTTTTCATTGGTCCTCAAGGGACCCGACACGTGTGACGCCCGTTAAATGTCATTGTATGAATGCACGTGCAGGGAAGTGCTTACCGATAATGTCTCCTTGTCTTGAAGCTGGGCTGGTAACGCGTTCTGCACAACCAGAGTGCGCTACAAGCTCTCACTACTGCACCTTTAGCTCCAACATCAGCTGCAGTCTGTGCTTTTGTTTGTGTACCATCCTCAAATGTATAAAGTTATGAGGTTTCCTAATTTGTCGCCATTTCTCTTATTTCTTTCTGATTCCGTGATTGATATTTTTCAAAATTAATCGCTCTAAGATTGCTCTCGGGTCACCTTGGTTACCGTTAGGTAATTTATTATCAATTTTGTCGGATGCAGTTTTTTGCAGCAATTATTCAGTAAAGAAACCGTCGAAAAATATCACAGTCCTTGATAGTGATACTTGTTTCCGCACAATAAGCCGGTATAGTAGTAGTAGTAGTAACAAGCAAAGTGAGTAGTAACCTAATCAAATAATTCTTACCCAGACTAAGTCAAAGTGACCGTGACTTACTAGATAAAAGTTCGTGACTTTTTTACTAATCAAATAATAATTACCCAGATATCATGGTCTCAAACACAATGGAAGATATTGAAATTAACGTAGATGACTCCGTGGATCTCATTGTAAGTATATTTATGTTACATTTATACTTATGTAAAATGAAAACATGATTATTATAGAGGGGTTTAAAGTTACGATTAAAACGAGATTTGTTTTCTCGAAAAACCGCTAGATTTAAACCTACCAAGAACCTATAGAATCTAGATGTTTCTGACGGTAGACATTGCCAAGCGAGAACATTGCCACAATGTCTGAAATCCACAGTGCAAGCAAACGACCTGCCTTCCTGCTTTGTAAAAAAGGAGGGGTGCATCTGCAATGTAGTGATCGATACATTGAGCCTGATACATTACCTCGCTACATTTACCTCGATACATTTACCTCCTCACATAAACTGACACATAACCTGCTAACAGAGAGAGGGCCATTGTTCTGTTCCAATTCTTGGGAGAGAGATACACTATATTCTACCAGTGTACAAGGCAGGCGTTATCAAACAATAGCTTCAGTGTCAAAATTGTCTGTGAGACTGAAAGCTGTTAACGAATGCAGTCAATGGGGCATCTTGTTGCGTTCAACATAGAAATGAGTGCAGTTGAACTTAGGTTATCGTTAAGAATTCTCACTACGAGAATTTGTCAGCGACATGAACTTCACGATCCTACGAAACGGTGAATAGCTGAACTCTGGTTTTATTTGGAAAATTATTTCACTATTTTCAGTCAAATAAACGCAGAAGACTCGACAATGGAAACAGTTTAAGTGACAAGGAAGACTCAGAGCTGCAAGTTGTCGGTGAGTTTACATTTCACTCATCCCCCGACCCCCTTTCATTGTGTCAGCTTCTTCCCACAGTACAAGCTATCTAAATGCTAATATCAGTATTCATTATTCACATTAACATATAACTTTTTGCTTGTCTATTTACTAAAACAACAGTTCTAACAAGATCCTCCACCAGATGAAGATATAGACGTGTCCGGGCCAGATCCCGCCCCGACCTTTATAGAAGAAGTAATGGACGAGGGAGGCGGCGACCTAGACCCCACAGCCCTCCACGACAACATCCCAAAACAGCAACCCCCCTCAGGGCCCCAACCGCCCGGTACTACACAACTTATATTACCCCATACTTTCTAAATTAAAAGACAATATGCCCTTTAGAGTACCGTATAATTTCCAAGTTCAGCTCCTCCGCATAACTCTGTTTAATTATTGGGGTTTAACTTTTCATGATTAAGTAGTTCAGCAGAGATGGTAGTTATAGTTTACCGTGGCCTAAACGGTCTGGCGAGTCACTTCATTGTTCTCTAAATGTAGCTAGGGCTGCGTGTGCTCTTGAAGTATGCATGAGGAGGTCTAGTCAACCGGGGAGTACAGTACAATAACTTTCAAATTAACGTCCAAAATGTGGCCTCTAACTGACTATTAGATCTCTTAAAACTCTCAATCTTACCATTTGTCGATTAACTCCTCTGATTATCACTAATTATATTATGATTATCACTAATTATATTATAATTATCACTAATTATGTGATTAACTCAGTTACCGCGGATCCGGTGCCACCTAAGCCCCCGATGGAGCCGGTAATCACCTCTGTGCCCCAAACTCCATCTATGCCTTCATTAACTTCAGTCACATCTATATCCAACAAGGTAAGACAATTTCACTGAACACTCAGATCTGCGTGGTGCTGCATTCTGCAACTCCTCATAACAGGATGGTCCAAAAGTTTGGCTGTTTGTACTTTTTGAATTAAATATTCACCTATGTTGAACGCTACTATAAAATATAATCTGTATAACTTGTATAACACCCAGGCTGTACCCGAGGAGGCGAGTAGTAACGTCACTACCACAAGTAACTACAAGAGTCCTGGGGGAGGGGGCAGATCAACCCCAGCCCCACCCAACGTCACTGCTATACCACTCATGATGCAGAGCATCGCCTCCGTAGGAACAGCACCCTCGTCTATACTCCAACAGCACACCACTCTTGCTAACATGATGGCTGGAACTCACCACCTCTCCTCCTCCCTTCCCTCCTCCCTTCCCTCTCCTATTCCTTCTCCTTCTCTCCCTTCTCCTTCTTTCCCCTCCTCCACTTCCGTCTCCAATCTGAACGACCCTACATCTGTGGTCCGGAGCCTAATGTCCAGTGTCACTGCTGCCGGTAACATGCACAGCACTGGGGCTAATAATATGGCTAATAATATGGCTAATAACATGGCTAATAATATGGCTAATAATATGGCTAATAACATGGCTAATAATATGGCAAACAACTTCCAAACGTCACAAAACAGCGGACCGGGAAATGGAGCGGGAAATGTTCCCAACCCAGTGGGAATGACAGCACATGCGCTGCTGGAAACGCTGCTCGCACAGGTCATTGCGCACTCCATGAACGGGAATGCCCCCAACACACCAGCCGCTGCTGGAATTCCTCCCTCAACCCCCACTACACCAACTCCCGCTATCTCCTTTAACTCTAATGTTAATGGTGAGTTGATACATCCTGAGTCCTGACCCAGTCCTGGCTGCTGCCAAACAATTCGAATTTCAGAGGAATAAAATAGACGACTGCGCTTTCCAGGACTGTTAAAATTATAATTATGGTACTGGTAGAGTTCAGCTTTTCTGAAGGACTCAGCTAATCTGTTTTAAGCATGTTTTAAGCTTTTCGAAAAGTGGTTTAACAATTGTGATGGTTTAACATGCTTATTTCTAGTATCTGACGTAAGCGGACAGAATTCAGAACCGCCACCCCAGTTTCCACAACCATCGCCCCTGATGTCTCCAGTGCCTGCCTCCCTACAAGACGCCACAAAACCCTTCAAAGAGACTCTGGATAAGATAAACATGCTGGAACAGAAGACGGTGTCTCTAGATAAGCAGAGTGTGGGGATACAGAGGATGGTGACCGAGGTGGTCAAGAAACAAGAGGAGAATACCACGGTGAGGAGAATGTTTTGTAACCCATCATAGCCTCCCTACTCATAGCCTCCCTTCTCATAGCCTCCCTTCTCATAGCCTCCCTTCTCATAGCCTCCCTTCTCACAGCCTCCCTTCTCATAGCCTCCCTTCTCATAGCCTCCCTTCTCATAGCCTCCCTTCTCATAGCCTCCCTTCTCATAGCCTCCCTTCTCATAGCCTCCCTTCTCATAGCCTCCCTTCTCATAGCCTCCCTTCACATAGCCTCCCTTCTCATAGCCTGCCTTCTCATAGCCTCCCTTCTCATAGCCTCCATTATCATAGCCTCCCTTCTCATAGCCTCCCTTCTCATAGCCTCCCTTCTCATAGCCTCCATTATCATAGCCTCCATTATCATATCCTCTCTTCTCTTATCGCGACCGATCTCAATGTGGTCTCAACAAACATTTCTGATTTTTAAAACATTTTAAAGTAACGAGTCCAGCTGCCCTTTATCTAGATTATTGATAATAATTATTAATGCAATTATTATTATTGTATTTAATTGTCCGTTGACCTTACAATAACCCCACCCCATCCTAGGTGGCGGGTACAATTTGTCCACGCTGTAAGCACATGGTTGGAGGTGGTGAACAGTTTATATCACATCTCATCGCTGCTCACAACTTTTCCGAACAAAAGGGACCGATCGGAAAGGCAGACTTTGGAAGTCAAGCTGGTCTGGGAACAGTAAGTTTATTCGGTTGATGAATGATGACAAGCTGCCTGGAGCACGTGGCAATGTAACACGTGTCAATTTAAGCTGATAGCTTAAGAGCTGTCACGTGGTAACTGGTATTTAAAAACACATGTGCTACGTGTTTCTTGTTCTCATGGGACTCAATTAATCCGTCTAACACACGTCTCTTTAATTTTGATCTGATTGTATTCATATGCAATTTAATCCAATTTGTCTGTCTGTTTTTCTATCTCACTTGATTGTTATGGAGATGTGACCCTATTACCTCCACAGTGCCGAGGATGGAGGTACATCAGAACAAAGAACTCCGGCACACAGTCCACCCTATCAATGGTTAACAAGGGTGATGCAAAGCAGGTCATAGATCTAACCAACAACAACGCCTCCCCACCTCCCGGTTTGTAATAGTTACATTTTAGGTCATTGGTGGGTGGCGATCTTTAGGCGATCTTTACTGATTTAAATAGCTTTCTCGCTGTTTATCTTTAATTGCTTTCATTCTTTTTCTCATCAAAGTCGTTTTATCGATTATACCTCATATGTCTTCTCAATGATTCATGTTGACCAATATTTAACTTACTGCCTGTTTGATTCATGTTATCCTGACAGATCAAGTGAAAAGTGGTGTGTTGCCTGCTCCTTCACCAAGTCATCCTAACCCACCTGCCATAGCGTCCCCGGGAACTGCCCCACAACAACCAAACCATCCTCCCAGTCCAAGAGGTACTGCCTATTATTATTTTGTTCACTAATTATGTTATTATTGTAGTTGATTTTCTTCTTTACTTAATGACTAAGGTTTGATTAATGAGGAAGATTATGAGTATATTTCAATTTTCATCATGATAATGTCATAAAAAGTTCTCAAATTGTTTGATATAAGTGGGTAGGCCGAATAAAACCATCGTATTTGTAACACTTAATTATTACATACTAATATCAATATAGTAAAAATTAATGAGGCTGAAGCCTTCGCCAAAGTTAACCGTCTTTATATAACGAACTGAGTGTATATATATTTATATTATAGATAAATATTTTACTTTGCGACACGTGGCTCAAGTCTCAACATTGAAACAAAGTTTCAGCTTTAATTGATATAAATATATACAATATAACCTCTTGAATTTGTGTATTAGCCGACAACTGAACCCAATTGAACATAGTTCCCATAAACCAATCAGCTTAATTGGTTAGGGTTAGGGTTAGGGTTAGAGTTAGGGTTAGTCTAAATTGGGTTCAGTTGTCCGGTAGCCAGCTATATATCTCGACTGATATAGTGTAATTTCTATAAATAGTAACACTCAATGTTTTCAGCGGGTGTGGGTTATGACAGTGCTCGAGCCACTGCCGCCAACATCCTCTCCTTTGTCTTCAGTAACCCTGACATAAACAAACAGTTTACTGATTTTGCTGAAGTACCCAAAGATCAACAACAACACCCTCCACCCCTCCGGTCACCTAAGAAACAGCAACCGGTACGTTTAACTGAGGCTAGTTACCAGTTTATTAACTATTTTATTGGCTGTCACCGCGACCGGTTTGATATTAACAACATTTTTCGAATAGTGTGCGTGATTACGTGCCATTAAAATAATGTTTTTCCAGAAGAATCAAAGCAAAAAGACGGTTGGTTGAACGAAGTTTAATTGGTTTGGGCGCACAATATGTCATATGCCCAGCTGAAACTGTTGCATCATACACAATTTTTGTTCTCCGAAAACTGCTTAGCATTAATTCATGAAACTTGAATGAACGACTTTGAAGAGTTCATACAAGGGAGCAGCATAGGCATGACCCCCATTGCGCATGACACCACAATGAACACTTGCAATGTAGCCATTTATGCATCTTAGATGGTGTGGACTGTGGGGATATTTGCGCTTTGAAAAATCTTTGCGGTTAACTACACTGCTACGCTGATAAACCGCAAATTTTTGCCATGAGATCATGAATCATGATCGGAAAGTTACTCATAAACCTCATGTAACTCATAAAACTTTGCCTGATGTGATTTTAACTAACATACAATTTAATCAATCATGTTAATAAATAATATTTAGTGTAATTACATATTTCAGATACCTCCCAACTACAACCACGGTCTGCCCTTCCTGCAAACCATTAACAAGCAGCTGCAGCAGCACAACGGACTGGCTCTCTTTGACAAGTGGAAGGAGGTTAAACCTGTCTCCCCTATCATTGTCTCCGCTCAACAGGTAATGACGTCACAATTTCAGCTGTTCTTTTTGGTTATTACTGAAGATGATGTCACAAATTCAGCTGTTCTTTTTAGTTGTTTCCGAAAGAAGGCTGATAATTTTCTTAAGATCACAATATAGCAGGCTATGCTATCGTGTCACCACATAAACATTTCTGAGACATAGCGGTAACTTACCATCATTGCTAGAAGGAGTTCATGGCACACGCGTTAAAGCAACAGCAACAGTTACAAGCACAACAACAAGCACAGCAACAAGCCCAACAGCAACAGATGCAGCAACACCAAATGCAACAGTCCATGCAACAGGTGAACAGAGGATCATTGTCGAATATTTACAATTACAAGTTTGCAATTTCATGGATATTGTGATGTATGATCCGTTTCCCAATCAATGTGGTAATATTAAAACCAACTTTGCAGGCAGCCCACAAGCGAGCTATGATGCAGGGAGGAGGGCCCCCAATGATGCACCCTGTTACCTCCATGATGCAGAGTTCCATGCAGCCCATACAGCCTATACAGCCCACTCCCATTCAGGCCTCCTCACTTCAACATATTCGACCTCATGGGTAAGTTTTCATTTTCTGTTCTTTAAAATATGTTACTAACATGATTTAATAAAACATTAATAGTTTTACTTGTATAAAAATGTCCGTTACTCGACGTAGACAGTATTTTATCACCTTGAATGCTTTTGCCACTTAGAGTCGGCCTTTTGTTCAGGTAAATTACCGCTATACAATATACAATATTCATAACTCCGCCATTATCGGATCTATTTGGATGTTATATATGAATATCACCGATGATTGACCCTTTTAGCGAATGGCTGTCTATTCAAAGGGCACTAACTTTTACGGTGGTTGTATCATTGAACCATTCTAGCTTTTCAGTGCCTCATGACAACAAACAGATTAACAATAAAATATTCTAGTGTTCATATAAACTCATATTATCCAAGCTTCGTAACCTCACGTCTAATTGTAACTGTAACTGTAACTGTAACTGCAACTGTAACTGTAACTGTAACTGTAACTGTAACTGTAACTGTAACTGTAACTGTAACTGTAACTGTAACTGTGGCGGTGACTGTTACTGTGACTGTGACTGTGACTGTGACTGTGACTGTGACTGTGACTGTAACTTTAACTGTAACTGTAATTGTAACTGTAACTGTAACTGTAACTGTAACTGTAACTGTAACTGTGACGGTGACTGTGACTGTAACTGTAACTGTAACTGTAACTGTAACTGTAACAACCTCAGGTCTAATTTCCCGATCCCACCTCCCATGATCTCAGTGGGAGACCCACAGTGACTGTGACTGTGACTGTAACTGTAACTGTAACTGTAACTGTAACTGTAACTGTAACTGTGACTGTGACTGTAATTGTGACTGTAACTGTGACTGTGACTGTGACTGTGACTGTGACTGTGACTGTGACTGTAATTGTGACTGTAACTGTAACTGTAACTGTAACTGTAACTGTAACTGTAACTGTAACTGTAACTGTAACTGTAACTGTAACTGTGACTGTCACTATAACTGTAACTGTAACTGTGACTGTGACTGTGACTGTGACTGTGACTGTGACTGTGACTGTGACTGTGACTGTGACTGTGACTGTGACTGTAACTGTGACTGTAACTGTAACTGTAACTGTAACTGTAACTGTAACTGTAACAAACTCAGGTCTAATTTCCCGATCCCACCTCCCATGATCTCAGTGGGAGACCTAAAGGACCAGTACCAACAAATGATATCAGGAGGTGCTAAGATAACCGCATTCGATGAGAACAGTGATAGTCCACTCAAAGACTGCTTACCTAAGGTATAGATTAACACCCCTAGCATGCTTGCAGAAATTTAGCCTTATAATCAGCCTGATAATGGAAGATGAGCAAGAATATGTACTAGTGTGTTTTAACTCTGCTGACATGTTCTTCCCAAAACCCAGGTGCGAGCCTCACTGGTTAACGGAGACATACAGTTGATGTGGAATATTATTGGTGACGAGAGAAAGTGTACTGGGTACAGATTGTTCGCCTACATGGGTGCCACCGCCCCACCAATATCCTCAACATGGACTGAGGTCGGTGCTTCACTTGTAAGCTCTTACTAATAGATGCTTCCCGCTGAAAAATATATTTTTGAACATAAAATCCCAGGATATACAGTGTCGCTATATCCGTAGTGTATATCTGCATATAGTGTAGAATAAATTAGAATTGTTCCGATGAAAATGTCTGCACCGCTAACCTTCCCCTTTCAGGTTGGCACAGTAAAAGCACTCCCCATGCCAATGGCAGTCACTCTCTCCCAATTTAGCAAAGGATGCTCCTACCACTTCACAGTGCGCGCTATAGACTCGCAAGGCAACGTGGGTCCCTTCTCTGAGCCGTGCTCGATCAAACTATCGCTCTGAGGCGTCGCCGAGTGTGTACAGTGTAAAGAGATATCATCTTACATTAAATCAGATCCTGCCAGTCGCGTTATTTGAATCAGATAGCAGTGTGAGTTTGGAGTTGTGTCGGAGTTTGTCAGAATGTTGGGTGGTTTATTATATTCAGATAATAGTTCAGTGGAAGGATTGATCTTTGTTGAGGAGTGGATTTGATGATTTATTTGAGTTTAAATTCACTAGAACAGATATTATCCGTACAGCAGCCTGCTAGACATCAAATCCCATACCTCGTATATTGTTTTGCTGGTGGAATGGTAGAATGCAGCTATCCCAAAGTTTATAAAATATAATGTATAAATATTTCCTGCTGGGAGACCATTCTGCGAGTATCATTACGTATACGTGTACATGTATACATGTATGTATCATGTATACATTACACGACGTGTGTTCATTATTGAACTGGATTTAGGATTTCTGGTTGAAAGTATTGGGTACGGGAATGTTTGAGAGCGGCGGTATGTCACGTAGTCACGTTTTATTGATGTGATCTACGTTTGTGATGGAAGGTTCTAAGCCTTCGAGATCACTATAAAACGAATTCCTTTTTAATTTTTAACCTACCACCAAGTATTTTTATAACGCCGTACTATTTCATAAGCTTTCTTGCTAGCTTATGTAGAATACTTTCTTTTTAACGATTTCGGGTTATGTTCTTTTAGCTGTAATCAGATATTTATTATTAGTCATTTTAATGTACGGGTTTAATTTAATCGTGTGGAGTGATCCTAGCGACATTTTTTCCTAAATAGTCGTTAAATGATCCACGGAAAACGCGAATAATTTTTGTTTGGACTGTTTTATTTGATTGCTTGAAGGGTGATATCGCAATATTATCTCATGGTGAATGCAACATAATTCACTGAAGTTCACTTTCCGATTTCAAGCATTTAAAGTTATAACTCTGAACTTCGTGATCAAAGTTACAGATTACAAATCACCGTAAATTTGTTGGCATTTTTAAAATAGGCGGCTTTGATTCACTTGCAGTGTCTTTTAATTTCTTATTCAATTTTCTTTGATTCTGGTCTTGATCGAATTTTATTTTTAGGTATTATTTGTTAGTAAAATTAACTAGAAACTGATAGTATTAGCTGAACCCAAAGAACTAATTCCAATTTTATTCTAGGATTGTGTGCTATTATTTAATTAAGATTAAGTTTCGATCATATCATATTCGATGTTTCAATTTGTCTGGTAACCAAATGTAGATAATATTTTATAAATTAAGACACGATAGTCATCGAACCTATAAACTTGAAATTGTTGGATCAATAATGGAAGAGGTGTCGATAAGATCATTTGGCGTGATATCGCCAGAAGGTGTAACCAATTGCACTGATTAAATAAATTCATAGTTAATAATGTCGGCCATCATTTAGTCGATAGCCTTGAAGAGTACTTTTTCAAACATAATCTGTCACATCATTCATCATTGATTGTTGTGTCCAATCTCTTGAAGTTTAATAAATATGATGTGAGTAAAATTTTCGGAAAATTAATGGCTTCTTGTTGGCAAATTTCTGAAAAAGGCACCAAATTCGGGTCAGACTTGGTGCAAGCCCTGTCTATTAATATAATATACAATACACATTTCGCTTCTAGTTATAGTATTTAATTGGTAAATTGAGTATATTAAGTTTCTTACAATTTTTAAGAACAACAAATAGGATTGTATGTATGTATGAAGCATGTATGTAACAGCTATTTGATGGATATTATGAAACTGAATTACATTTTGTTATTGATCCTCATTCCTCTTGTCTCTTCTTCCCTTGCTCGTATTAGTCGTATATCTATAGATACTATCTAAAATTCAAACAGTTCTAGTTCTACCTCATACCTATTTTACAGAGAGGCGTGATAGTCAATAACAATGTATGTATCAATAATCCTTTGTACCGTTAATTCGGGGGGGGGGGGGGTGTTATTGTGTGATACTCCTCATCAGATGACCGTAACAAAAGATTCGGGTCACCAAACATTGAACATTGTCACCACAGGCACAACTGCGCTTTTAATTGTGAGTTTTATTCGAGTTTATTAAGCTTTTATTTTGAGAAGATGAAGTTCTTTACCGTAGTTTTGTTTGTAATACTTGTTAATGAAGCTGCAGCTGTCGAGGAAATCAAATTCAGGAGGCAATCATTAAGAGCCCACAATTTCTACCGTAGAGTTCATGGAGTGAGAACGATGAAATGGGACATCGATGTAGCAACTTTTGCTCAACATTGGTGTGACAAACTGAAGAACGAAGACAAAATGGAACACAGCAAAGGCAGTGGGTTCGGAGAAAACTTGTTCTGGGCATCGGGGGACTCTTCTTCTGTGGATGCTGGAAAATCTGCTGTAAAACTTTGGTACGATGAAATAAAGGACTACGACTACTATCATCCTGAATTCTCTGGGAAAACTGGGCATTTTACTCAGGTATCAGTAATGGATCATATTTTTGTTGACACACGCTGTAACCCCTTTTGAGCGCGCGCCGGCGTGCACGAGAGGTATACAACGTGTAGCAATATTTTTGTTATCGAGACTAAAATTAGAAACCCGTCATTTCATGTCGTCCGACGGTACAGAAAAACAAATTATACGATCAACGATAAAATTTACGGATGATACTCGTCACAATTTCTTGTATCACATTGTGACCCCCACGGTCGTTTCATGATACAGGGGGAGCCGCGTACTCGTGCGCGGTGGGCCTTACAACGTACTTGATACATGTTTCGTATCCAAATATCAGAGATATTCGGCGCGCGCTTCGCGCGCGAAAAGTGGCATGCAACGTATGTCAACAACGTACGACAAATAATTTCTTCGAAGTAGCGCGCCGCTTTCTTCTCGAAATGTTAGCCCGAGGCAAGTGCTACGAAGTATAGCGCGCGCTGATTTATATTTATATTTATTAGTCCATCAACAATGGACAACGATAAAACTACTTTCTGTTTAGGTGGTGTGGAGGAGTTCGACTAAGGTGGGATGTGGTATTGCTATCAAAGGGAAATCAACGTGGGTTTGTTGCAACTACAGCCCTCCTGGAAACTTCATAGGACAATATGGAGCTAACGTTTTCCGACCTACTAACCAATAATAGGCGTGCTAATCCCTATTATATGACCGGCGCTTATTTAGCTTGCTAGTCGACTTTAGCTCGCTCGGCCACTCATATATGTGCGATAACCTCGAAAAGAGCGCCGCTGGGGCTGGGGCTGGCGTGCACCAGGTAAGCTGGTAAGACCAGCACTTTTTCCTATTTGTGAAAAAAGCGACAAATAGACTAGCAAGCTAGGTAATCTAGTAATAGCTAAATAGTAGAGGCTCTTACGGGCAAAAAGACGTGTTTTCTGCTACGAGTTTAGAGACCTAACCGCTAATTGGACACAATAGTATGATGTCTAAGGATCGATAATATGTTAAGAAGTATAAATTTGGCCTTATTAGTCACGTGCTATACCAATGCGCGTTTTAAACTTTGACAGTCTATTACTCTAAGGTAAATAGAGTAATTATATTCATATTTTGTCAGCAATAAGATCACATTATTTTCTATTTTGTGTGAAAATATGAGCTAGAACGGACATAATCTCGCTGAGTTATAGCTGTTTGAAATTTATGATGAACGCGCGGGTGCCAATTGATAACAACTAAATGCTTTTGCGCGTAGTGCGCGTCGAAAATTTGGCAAAAACGCTTGCGGAGTGAAAATATTCAAACTTCGATAAAGTATATGAAGTGGGTACTTCTCGGAAAGGAAAAATTTAGGCAAACACGATGTGACTATTTTTGGGTTGATTTAATACAACTGCAAAAAATTATTCAAACTTCAAGCAAAAAAGTCAAAATTTTTACCACTTTTTTGGATTTTTACCTCAGAACAAATAGAGGGATTTGTTTTATTTTTATACAATCTTGTGCGGCTGTCTTTTAGCTATCTTTATGCAAGTTTTGCCGACATGCCAACAAAATTAACTTGCTCAAAATATCAAAAAACATGGTTTTTTGGCCTATTTTTGGCCCAAAAATCGGTTTTTTGCGATTTTACCCCAGAACAATCAGTCCAATCATCTTGAAACCACTTTCAATCGATTCTACGGTCAAAAATACGTCTAGTAAGGTGTATCTGGGGTCCCTAACGTATCGAGCAGACAATGCCCGTAAGAGCCTCTACTAAAACATTCGGGAGTGTGCCAGACACAAAGAAAATAAACTTTCAAAAAGCAAGTATAGACTATTTATAGTCTTCAACGTTCAAAACTAAAAGTAGTAGTAGTTATTTTCGTTTTGCAGAATGTATTCATTTTATTTTTCAATTCACACGTTTCTTTTTTTTTTGTTCTTTAATTTTATTTTATTTCATGGAGATAGAGGAGTGTTATAAAGTTGTTGTACTCTATAAGTGTATATTCACCTACAAGCATAACTGCTTGGCGTGATGAGGTACATCTTAGATTGGTCGAAGGTCTTTCAACAACACAGCATCATCATTTTCATAGTAGTCCCCGGCTTATGACGGGTTCATAGCGGTATTAAACATGTTTTTCTGGGCCCAAACATTCTACGCTCCTACTATGCTATTACTGGTCTCTTGACTAACTCCCAATCATCTGTCCATATGGTATTGTTTCTGGACAAATAAATGGTATACGATGCCCTCAGGCTGATCTCAGCGATCTTCATGCAGGCCTTCTTCTTCTCTTTGTTGTTTACGTTCAGGTGGTTCATAAAGGTTGGGAGGCTATAGTTGTAAATGCCTCGAGCTCCCACTTCTACTGTCTGGAGCTTGCAAGCCCATTCGTTGGCTTCTATCTCTTCTGTCAGCTGCTGATATCTCTTCATCTTTCGCTTCTCTTGATCAGCAAAGTTCTGCTCATTTCCACAAGTCAGCTCCATTAGATAAACCTTCTTTGCTTTATCTGAATAGATCACTACATCAGGTCTTAGTGGTGTAGCTGCAATGTGCTGCGGGAAGTTCCTCTGTCTCTCATCCTCATCAAATATTATCTTCCAGTCGTTGGCATCTGAAAAGAAATATCTTTTGGTCTTATGATGAGTTGGGTCAGCTAAGGTAACCTTCTCGCGCTTATTGCCTGCCTTGTGAAAGACCGACGGTGCCCTCTTCGATTCCTTGGCGATGTCGGAATTAAACTCTTCGATCTGTGATGAAACAGTCTTCATAATTTCACGTAGGACCTGATCATGGCGCCAGTTGAAACGTCCCTGTCTCAGTGCAACCTTGCAGAACGTGAGGATATGATTGAGTGTCCCTTGTTTGCTGCAGAGTTTACAGTTTCCTGGAACGGCTTTATTCCAAAGCTTTAGGTTGCTAGGTGTTGACGCAGTGTCATGGATAGCATTGACATGAAACTTTAACAGTTCCGGACTAAGTTGATAGATCAGGTTATTCCGCGTGGTGTCAAATGTGAGTCAAATATAGCCAATAAAATTTTTACGCGAGGTTAGGGGGATAATGATTAATCACTCTACACTCAACTGTCACGCGGTAACTTTTTCAACCCGTTCTCTAGACAATCGTGCTATATCACTCGATCTACAGTCAATCTTCGAAATTGTTCCAAAATGGCCCCCGACAGTTGAAACCAACTTCATTCGATGTATTTTCTATCGCTGATTCCGAATCACCCCCACCCCATGACAAAGGGTTAAAATGCTCCCCTGAAGAGATATTTGATATTGGCGAAAAACTAGCTCGATCACGTGATTGGTGATATGACCGTATACAGTATAAGGAAGTTGTAGCGCGATGCGTTACGACGCGCACTCAATGAGGTTTCTCACATGCAGCGACATCGCGCTAGATCGGCAAAATGCGCTACTATACTGTGCCGCGCCCGGCGCCAAGCTGCAATGAATTGACATTGTCAATTAAATAAGGAAGTCAGTCTAATTTATTGTTAGGGTTAAATATATTGTAGCGAGATGCTTTACTGGGTCGCGCGCGCATCCAATAATGCTTCTCGCGCGCAACCACCTTCCGTAGATCGGCGGGATGCACCACTGGGCCTCGCCGCACATCAAATAATTATTAAGGAAAGAAAAATTTTTAAGGAAAGAAAAATTTTTATTTACCACAAAACAATCAATACATAATGTTATATTCATAAATAAATTCAAATTTCAATTTCAAACACATATACAGTGCGCCGCGCACACAGCCACAATTTTCAATTGTTCAGAAATTCGTAGGTCAGCTGTAGGCGCCGCGCACAGGATCTATTTAATTGTTATCTTACAATTACATGTCGCATTTCTTAATTACTAGAGCCAAAATTTCAGAAGCAAAATAATTTAAAACATATTTCTGTCGTTCACGCAGTACAGGCCGTGAGCACTGCGATCTAATTAATAGATCGAATAATAATAATGGAGAAATTCCAAAAACCGCGCGCTCGTTATTTGTGATTAGATTGAGTGCGCGCCTCTGTGAACAGCAGTACCGCTCAAGCATGAAGTACTAAGCGTTACGCAGTTCTGCGTGGACATTTGTAGCACACGTTTCATTGAACTAATCAATTATGTGACATGTAATTGTATTAAAGCAAAAAGAATATTAATTTTAGTAATAATTGACGTAAACATATGTGTTTAAATAACATTTATAATCTAGCGAGTTACCAATAATATAATACTATTTGTTTGTATTATTGATTATATATGTTTACACTAGCCTATATTATGATGGAGATATACATTATATAATTGCTCCAATATTCAACACTGCTAAACAACAAATACCTACTCGCCCATCGATGAAGCAGTCGCCAAAACAAAGCTCAAAGTTAATATACCTTCGTACTTCGTTTTGGAAACTGTAGAATGCCAGTAAATAATTAGTGTTTCAATCGTGTATTCGATGGGCAAGCACTCGCCACTCGAGGCCGAGACAAACGGCACCGGCTCCGCCCCGCAACCATGAAGTAATGTAAGCAGTAAGGCGGGGCGGTGGTGTGCGCCGTTTATACGGCCCACAGCACGAGACATTTTGAGCTCCAAGACTTAAGACTATAAAAGTCCCGAGTTAAACGTAGCGACTTACCATCGTCAGCCGTCAAAAATTTAGAATTTGTATGTTATAAACTCTACATCTGATATCAGTATAACATGTAATTTAGTTTGTTATTGGCTAAATTTTTAACTCGATTAAGCGATGCAAACGGATGAACTAGGCTCCTCCTCCGTCAAAAACACAATGAGAGGGGATTGTGGAAGGACACGAACACTATTCGTTAACTCGTACCCCGGGTACCCCCTAGAACTATGTCCCATCAGATGTCAGAGAGAGCCCATCACCCGTCAGATCGAAAACAGTGTTTTAATTTTGATATATGCTGTACCAATTGCAATAAATGGTAAGTCAAGGCTGACGTTGGTAGCAAAATATAAAGTGACACGTTACAACAAAATAACCACTACACACACACACACTATACGCTATAACTATTGTACACAGTACACAGTATAACTAAAATATAAAATATAAACTGGTTACAAGAGACAAAAGAGTTTACAGAAGAGTTTTACATCGGCTCAGCACCGCCAGGACATTGGCTATACACGTGGGTCAATTAGTTTGATTTGGTATGGTTCGACCGGGAAAGTGGTCGAAATTAGTGCTCTTAATGAGTCATCACTGTCGTCTGAATATTAGAGCGGGAACTTCCCAAGTTTCGGCCGACAACGCGCGCGCACAGCATCGGCGCGCAATGCTATGCGCGCGCGTTTCCATATTGCTGTGTCATTCGGCGGTTGCGCTCAGCGTAACTTGGAAATGAGTTGTATGTTTTTTACCTAAATTCAAGCATGGTAATCATAGATAAGCTTGTCAGTCAGTAAGTGCTTAAGTGGGAATAACAGGCAAATAAATATCACTTCTTAATCAGAATTCAGTGAAATTTTTGTCACACCACTCAGTTCCATACCGGTTTTGAGCTCTTAGAAGTGACTGTTTAAGTAAATTCTTGATAGATCTGCATGTGGAGGTGAAATTTAACGGGCCAACTTTACGGAATTCATTCCACAGCCATGCAGATTTATAAATAAATTGATTAGTTGGAGAGGGTGTAATGAACAGAT